CCCCCAGCCCCCCTTCCCACACCACCCATCACTCATCACTCACCGCACACCCGAAATTAGGCCCCCTCCCCTGATGGCGGTGGTGGTTGAGAGCCGAGCTTTATTCTTGTAAGCGCTGTGACTTGTTTGCACGACCGGAAAGCCCCTCTCCCGGCCGATTCATCTTCGGTGACGGGAGCTGTATTGATAGATAGGGATTCGGGCGGGGCCTGCTCGGAACTAGGTTTCCGCATGAAGTAATATTATTACATTTCCATTTGAGAGTGGGCGGGCGTGACAATGAGAATGTCAACCTGCGGAGACTAGGATAGAGACCTGCTCGTTCTAAAAACTTGTCATGGGTGGAGAATAGTCTTCTTTTTATGTGAAGACGCTGGAAAGTCGAGATTGGCTAGGCATAGAACATGATGAAATAACTGGCTCTATTTCTCTAACCTCAGCAATACAATTCTCAATATATTCAGAGCGAGATAGTGCGAGACTCCTGATTAGTTACCAGGTGTAGTAATCGGGAGCCATCAAAGATGTTAGAAGCCTTACTCAAGTTTTTCTTATCTTGGGGTCCAAGTAACTAGACTGTTCAGAGAGAAAAAAGAAGAAGGAAAAAAAAAGTCTCGGAAGTGCTCCGTACCGTATGTAGCTCAGAATATTGTACTACGTACGCCTTCATATCTCTCGACGCTGCTTTCATAGACGCGACAAGTACCACGCTCGTATAGGATAGGCATACGCCTTGCCTGGGGCCATAATACCCTGCCAATTGAGAATCAAGGCGATCGCTTGTTCTTTGCTCAGGCTGGGGCATCTGCTGTCTCATACCAAGAGTCAATAGTCTGAGAAAAAGAAATGAAACTGGTCATCTGTAGAGGACCATGTACCGGTACTTGCACCAAGTTGTAGACCTAGCCCGTTTCCGTATGCAAATTTTTCGGTGATGATGATGTAGGGGGCGTAGATGAAAGCTGCCTTGGAGGAAAGAAGCAGAAAAGCAAACATTGTCGATGACCCTGTCGGCTGAAGTCCTTAGCCGACCGGATTATGCTGTGGTTCAGCTTCAGCTCCCGGCTCTTCATTGAGCCCGCTTCGAAGGCTACCAGCAGACGTGTTCGTGCGTCTTCCCGCCCAAAGTTTTGCCTTGGGGTTCTTTCTCGTCTTGGTTCTCGACCAAAATAGTAGTATTCTTACCAAGGAAACTCATTCTCTCTCTCTCTGCATCTTGCAGCTCCAAGATAGGCCATTGAGTGACCGCACATCATGGTGCACGCATCGTCTTCTGTAGGTTGGCACGCGTTGGCCGGTGTGCTCTTTCGGAAATGTATCTGAGTCAAAAGTGTCATTCTGTGTGGCTGGACAATATTGTGAGGCTGACCGGACCATCTTATCCGAACATGAGGCGGTCATCTCCACGGCTGGCAGTGGATAGTTTCATCGGGGAAGCGATCGATGAGACAAAGCTCTCCCCCCAAGATCTGGCGCCTATGATATGGTCATTTCATCTTTTCACGGTCTCAGCCTCAATCTCAGTTGAGAAGATAGAGAGAAGTGGAGCTATCTCGGACCCCTGTCAATGTCTCATAAGGTTTGGCACACAGATTTGACAAGACACTAACAAGAGGTTGACCGATGCGGCTCTGTAGATCCGGACAACGGCAAATCTATTTTCTCCGCTGCTTAGATAACTCAAATGTCGGGTTTGGGGCTTTGGCTATCGCACGTGATCTTATCGCGATTGACCCCACATGCGCGGCGCACCGAACTGGGGCATTGGAGAGCGCAAAAAAACCCTTGCCGAATAGCACAAAATTACTGCCGGAGGAGAAAAATTACGCCCTTTCCTGCTACCCACACGGACTCCTACGATTCGCATCGCTCTCGTTCTTTTTTCCTTCACCACAAAGACACACATCAATCAAGATGGAATCTAGCTCCAAGGCCCCCGTCAAGCTCGTCAAGGTGACCCGAGTGCTCGGCCGTACCGGTATGAGGAGACTTTTGTTCCTGTCGCTCTCATGAACTCTCTGTCGCCAGTCTGTCGTCGCCCCTGCTGTTACGATTTCGTCGTCGCCCCTGCTGCTTGGATTGGATGTACGAGGAAGAGGAGGAAAGGTGTTTATACTCACTATTTCGTCTGGGAAGAAAATTGGGGTTAAAAAGGGAAAAGAGGAGAAGGGCATGGATCGACGAGACAATCGAAATTCGCAGCATCGACGCGCAAACTGGCTGAGAGGGGTTCATGGAGCACGTTTAGAAAAACAACGGAAAATGCTAATAAGAAGCCCTGCATAGGCTCTCGTGGTGGTGTCACCCAGGTCCGTGTCGAGTTCATGGACGACCAGACCCGTTCCATCATCCGAAACGTCAAGGGTCCCGGTATGTTTGAGCTCAACGCCTCCAACGAATTGCTGACCGTAGACATGTTTGGGCTAACTGAATTTGTGCTATCTAGTCCGTGAGGACGACATCCTCTGCCTCCTCGAGTCCGAGCGTGAGGCCAGACGTCTGCGATAAATGTCGAATGCTGGAAGGCAAGGGGGAGAGAAAAAGGAAGTCGGTAGTGGTTCTCATTGGCGTGAACGGGTACGGGTCGTTTTCTTTGGGTGTGTTCCATCTGGACATTACGGCCTCTTTTTGACGACGGCATGAAACGATGGTGTCAAATAGCGACAACCGGCAGGGCTTCATACTACCTAGTCGGAAATACCTAGGCTCATTCTCATAAAAAAAAAGATATAAAGCTTCTTTTTTTTTTGTCCAGACATGGAATAGCTTCAGCTCGATTACCGGCTTATTGGCTGACAGTGACGGACTGATTAATGGATTGATGAGGCAGTCAATGCCATGCGGTAAGCTAGACAGTTGCCGTGAGGCTGTATGCGGGGTTGTCTGGTATTGTGGCCTAGGTAATAATACCTTGGTATGCTACATGTACACTACATCATCATGAGACCTGCTATCTGATCATGATTGCACAGATCATGTGGTGGCCATGGACAGAAACTGTTTTCCTCTGCATCTGAATCTGAGACCACTCATACCACTTGGCCTATTCATCCATGATATGTCTTCAGACTGTGATGCAAGGACGCCTAATGGCGATGGCTTCTATGTTTACAAGGTGTAGTTGGAAGAACGCTTGAGTTTCTTGAATGGGCTAGGGAGTATTGGTAACTTAAACCAATACGAGTTGACTAGGATTGTTATGGAGAGTTGGAAAAGTTGTGATATCCCTTAAGTTATAGATCCCTCTGCTCTCTTAGATTGTCCTCAACGTTTCTTCAAGACTTCTAGTTGAAGTAAGGATATCACTCTGCGCCTGCGTTGAGTTAAGAATGAACTTCCAAAAGGCGCCAAGACCCACCAGTTACAAGACACATTTCAATCATCTCAAGCTTTGGAAATCAATCCTAACACTGCTGCTTTCATTCAGTGAGTGTACGTTGTTTAGTAGTCGAGGTGCTATTGTAGCATGATGTGCACAAATACGAACTGTATTGAACCTGGTCCCGCATGGCCAAGAGAGACGCGTCAGCAACTGTGGAAAAAAAAGGACAAAACGGAAAATGAGATGCTAGAGCGGATATCCGGAAAGCTGCGTGCCCCTAGATTTACATCATTTCCCTCGGTCTCGTATACGAAAAAACAATCCGGCGACTTGCAGATGCGGGATTCACGAACCCGCTGCTTGTATGACGGACAGGCTGAGGTGGCCTCGAGGCTGAGAGACCCCTAGATTGATGTAGTCACTGTTAGGTACCCCCGCGATGACGAACTGCAGGGCAATATACCCCGTAGGTACCCGATCCGGCCGCATCGCCCATTGCTAGCGGCAACCAACGCCCCCGAAAGAACCACTGAAGAGCCGCTGGACAGGGCAGAACAGCACAGAACCACCGAACATGCCACCAGAAATGCCCCCAAAAATATCCCCCATCTTTTGACTGTCTCCCCCAAATCTCCATCGCCATCTCCATATCTTCATTCTCACGGGCGCCCCCATCTTACACATTACTCGCCTCTCACCAGCCAGCCTCAGCCACCTACTTCGACCTGCAGTAGCAGCAATTGCACTCCGGCAGTAAGCTTGGCACCTCGTCGCTGCTCCCGCGATCCCTCCCGTCCGTTTCGTCCACTCGGATTGGTTTATTGCCCGTCCAACTGCCGCGCTCTAACAAAGCGGTCCCAGCCCCTCGCCTTGTTGCTTCTGCTTTTTCTTTCTTTTTTTTCTGGCTTCAATTCGCTAGTGACGACATTGAGACTTACCAAGGCTCGCCCTGGACTGACTGAGCTCGACTACTGCAATTTTCGCGCGGAACGTCACCCTCGAGACACGTCGTAAAGCCAAACACAAAGAGATATACAGCTCAGGCCGAGGTATTGCGGAGCTTGCCAGTCGCAAAACAATCCTTCGGGCTCCTGGAGAAATTGCTCGCCATCCAAAGGCGCCTCCCTTCTAGGGTTTGGTGAGCTTCCCCTCCCCTGCCTCTTCCTCATTCGCAGCTCTTCTAGTTCGTCATAGCTCGCTCCATTCCACCTTGTTCCTGCATCTGACTTCTTTCGTAGTCGACATCTGGACAGGTCGCTCTAACCGCTGCGGCGCATCTTAGTTTTTAATCCTCCGGGGAATTAGCAGTGAAACACACGAACTAGAGTCTCGTCATCGGCTGCCACCGCTCGAGGCCTCCCCCTTGCCGACAGCAAACCACAGCTCAAGCCTCTCTCAGAGGCGAACCCATATATAACCATGGCCGACTTTCGCTCGCCCATTGACTCTCCGGTGCCGTCACTGGCGCTCCAGATGCCGCAGTCATCGCCGCTGCAACACCGCCGAGACTTTTCGGGATCAATTACACTCGACGATCCTGCGCAGCTCCGACGAGCTTCCGGCGATGCTGCCGCGCAAGAAGGCGCTCTGAGACTCGGTGACGGCACGGCTGCGCCAGACGAGGCTCTCGCACTGCCCGCAACTGATCCATCTGTGCTCAAGTTGGTCGACGAGGTGTTGGCGTCCGAGGTATGGGTTTCTTATCCTCCGAGCGAGAATGCGCACGCGTAATGCCGATGCGGCGCCGCTGCTGTTGTTGACGTTGATACTGACTATCCTTGATAGCAAGGTATTCCTTCACTGCTGCAGCGCTTGAAACAGAGCATAGCCTCTGCAAAGGTGAGCCAACTTGTCCTCCATACATATAATTGTGGTCCTTTCACATGGGTAGCCAGCGGTGCCCCATGCTGTTGGCTGTTGGCTGCAGCTCTGACACCATGTGGCTGAGACAAGAGAGCTGGACAAGAAGCTGATGGTGACGATGATTACTTAGGAGTTTGGCACTTTTCTCAAAAAACGAGCCGGCCTTGAGGAAGACAATGCTCAGACCCTGAAGAAGCTGGCGCGCGCCACCCAAGACAACATTCGACGACCCGAACACCGCGGAGGCTCGTTTGGACAAGTGTACGAGGAAATGGTCCATATTCACGAGCGCATGGCCGACAACGGCATCCACTTTGCTGCCACGCTTCTGCAGATGAACGAGGAGCTCCTTGAGGCGGCTGGCTCTGCTGAGCGCAACCGCAAATCCTGGAAAGCCACCGGCCTGGCCGCCGAGCAAAAGGTCGTCGATCTCGAGGTCGCAATGCGCAAGAGCAAGGCGAAATACGATTCTCTGGCCGAAGAATACGATCGCGCAAGGACAGGCGAGAGCAGACCTGGTGGCGGCAAAGTCTTGGGCGCATTCAAAGCACACAAGTCAGCCGCCCAGCAAGAAGAGGAGCTCCTCAAGAAGGTTCAGACTGCAGACCAGATGTACCACAGCGCTGTCACCAGTCTACAGACGGAGAAGGCTCAGCTGCAGAATACAACTCGGCCTGAACTTGTCAAGTCGCTGCAGGAGGCTATCCGCGAGATAGATTCGGCTGTCGGAATGCAGATGCAAAAGTTTGGTAAGTCGCGAAACCGGGAAACAAGCTCCCCTGAGGCTCCTTCGGCAGATCTAAGTTTAATGACCTGACTGACAAACACTTGATAGCTCTGAACAATGAGAATCTACTGCTTGGCAATGGTCTCGTCATCAGTCCATTCAGAAATAGCGCTTCCATAGGCCCCAACCAGCCCCGAAGCATGAGATTCGCCGTCGCATCCATCAACATCAACAAGGACCTGGATGACTTTTTGGCCTCCTTCCACTCCAAGGTTCAACCAAATACCGGCGAGATCAAATACGAGCGCAATCCGGTGCGTTTCCACCTCCCCCGCCGATTCACCTGATCGCTCTCAACTCCGTATCTGGATCTTTCAAACTGACATTCGTTTGCGTTTGCTTCTTTTGCAATTTTTAGGTTCTTGGTCCTCAGCCCGGCGCCATGGGCCACTCATCCTTACCAGCTGCATCTCATGCTTCGAAGCCTTCTGTCAGCCAAGCGGCTCCTTCAGGCGGATTTCAGCAAAGCCCGCAGTCCTTCTCAGTGGCATCACGGACAGGCCCTAGCAACTTCAACGGCCCTCCAGCAGGCGCTCCAGGCCCTCAGGGACCACCAGCTACTTCTACTCCTACTAACGCAGAGCCTCCAAAATCCTTCCATCAATCGAACCACAGCCATACCTTTAGTCAAGGCAACATGCTGAATTCCCCCGTCAGCCCCCAGCCTCAGTATGGCTCAGTGGGCCCAGTATCAGGAGGCCCTCGCTTCCCCAACGGTGGCCCTGCAATCACCGGCCCGCCACAGCTAGGAGCGCTTGCCTTCCAAGAGAATGAGGGTCCATCTGAGAAGAGCTCTTCGCCTCCCCAGCTGGGTCTTCCATATCAGCCTCCTGGGCCAAGCGCTCCACCAGCATACAGCGGCCCGCCTGCTCTTAACACTGCTGCGGGCTCAAAGCCCGTGTTTGGCGTTCATCTGGGCCGCTTGTATGAGCGAGATGGCCTTGCTGTGCCCATGGTTGTGTACCAGTGTATCCAAGCTGTCGACTTGTTTGGATTGGGCGTGGAAGGAATCTACCGCCAGTCTGGCTCTATGAACCACATTAACCGACTAAAATCCATGTTTGATTCAGGTATGTTTTACATCATGTCCTGTCCTTGTGCGAGCTATCAAGGTAGCTTCTTGTCAACTAACTAAATATTCTCTCTTTCGCACAGAGTCTCAAGCACAAGCTCTTGACTTTAGAAACCCAGAGAACTTTTTCCACGACGTCAACAGTGTTACGGGCCTGTTGAAGCAGTTCTTCCGGGATCTGCCCGATCCGCTGTTTACCACGGAGCACCACAGCAGCTTCATCAACGCAGCGAGTACGATAACCCCTCTCTCCACACTCCCTTTTCTTTAGCACCTACTGACCACGAGTAGAACATGAAGACGAAATCGTCCGCCGAGACAACCTCCACGCCATCATCAACAGCCTGCCTGACCCCAACTATGCCACTCTCCGCGCCCTCATGCTCCACCTGCACCGCGTCATTGACAACTCTCACATCAACCGCATGAACTCCCACAACCTGGCCGTCATCCTCGGTCCCACACTCATGGGCACCGATCCCAGCACCGCTATTACAGATGCCGGCTGGCAGATCAAGGTCATTGACACAATCTTGGTAAACACGTACCAGATTTTTGATGAGGATTGATTGAAATAATCTGCTTCTTTCCTGGTCCTTTCTCCTTTTCTGTTGGCACCAGCCTGAGTGTTGATATCTTGGGAATCTCACTATTTCTCTGTCCAATATGTCTCGTCTCTCCCTTTATCTCTCCATCTCTGTCCCTTTTACATCTCTTTTGCATGGCGCTTTTTATTTCATCTGCTTATTTACGCACCTTGATTGTCTTTCTGTCACCCCAGATATAAGTCGATATACCTACCTACATTCAAGTAAAATCTAATAGAATGTAATATTGTTTTCGCGGCCCTTTTCTTGTCTCTTGTCGTTTCATTATCTGTCTGGTCAACGACACCTGTAGTCTGTATACTGCACGAAGTAATAGCATTAAAAATATAACAATAAAAAATTATTTGAATTGAGCAAAGGTATCCTACAACAAAAAATATGCCCAAGAAGCATTAAAAAGGCAGAAAGAAGATAAAACCTTGGGAAAATGCGCTTCAAAAGCAACCCTCTCCCCATGCCCCATGCCATGCACGAACGAACAAAACTCCAACCCTCGTGAAGAAAGAGAAAACCAAACAAAGACAAGAGGATGTAAAACTTGAGTGTAATTTGCAATGCGCCTCCTCTACATCAATCTGAAAAGCCTCCCATTAACCATAGCCTCTTTTTGCCTGTCCTTTCTTCATATAATGAAGTCCTGTTCTGTTTTTTTTTTCTGGTACTCCAACCAAGACAGGGAAAGAAAAAAAAGGTATCTGAAAAGCCCTCCTCTAGCTAACGTGACAAAAATTTCAAAACACAAAAATGAGCACAGCAAAACAGAGAAGAGGAAAAACGCGAAACAAAAAAAAAGAAGAAATAAAGAAGAAAAGAAGCACAAGAAGCCAAAAATGCCATGCTTTCCATAAATCACAACTCCTTTCGGTCTCCTTTATAGGTATCTCCTCCACTTCCTCTCGTATGCATTGTCAAGGGCCCAGTGAATATATTCAATTTCTTCCATTCTTCCTTTCCCTTCGTGCCGTTTTTCTTGCTACCAGCCGTCACATGAGTCATAGCAATTATGGGTATTTCTTCGTTTCCAAGTCTGGTACGATACTCGCATCTTCAAAACAACGCATGATGAATGAGATATGAAAGGAAAACAGAGAAAAGGGAGAAAAAATATGAGAAGAGCAGAAGAAGGCGCTGCGTGGAAGTCAAATGTATCCTTTAGGCACGAGGACTTGGAGTTTTCCCCTTTCATCTTCCTTCTTCTGTCGAATGAAAGCTTTGATCATGAACGTAGCCATTATGCGCGCTGAATGGTGCTTCGCAATGATGTAATGAGTATGATGCTGAAAGAGAACCAAACAGAAGACACAACCCAGAGAAGAAAAAAAAAAAGGAAAAAAACCACGAGAATATGTATAGGTAAAGAGAAGAAGAAAAGCAAAGCAAAAAGCAGGATAGTACAAAAAGAAAATGTTGAAAAGCCTTCTTTTTGGATGATACATGCAAATATGGGTCTTTAGTGTATCCTGATGGCTTCAAAGAGACTTAGGTTTAAGCTCGTATCGTTCACACCGACATTGGGGGTGGGCTCGCTAAGCAACTCCCATCGTCGAATGACATAGGGGGAGAGCCTTTCGTGAGGCAATGGTCTGATGCCATACATGGCACCCATGCCCCTGGACGCAGAGCTGTGAGGCACTGCTGCCTTGTCTCTGTGCGCAAGCATCATGCCGTCCATAGCTGTTGGCGGTGGAATACTAAAGATGTAATACAGGCGAAAGTCTGAGGATGTGTGCAGACTCGGCATCATACCAGGCACGACAAGAACTGACTTGGCACAGTGAAGGCGTAGGTCGTCTGGCAAGCCGTCTGCCAAGACCGCGGCGACGTCAAATAAATGTTGCAACAGTCCGCCTCCAGCCACCTGGCTTGGAAGTGTCTCGAGCCCAAGCAGCAGGCGGCATAGGGTCAGAACAGTATGTGCCCGAGCCTCGTGATGGGGAGGCATCTGCAGTTTTCCCTGGACGGAAGTAGTCATTACAGAGGCACTCAAGGGCTCCTGAGACACGCTGTGTAAGAGCACAAACTTCAGCAGCATCGGTATCCAGTGCTCAACGACAGACGATAGCATCCCCCCTTTCTTGTCTCCGGCAGCCCTTGGCGCGACGACCAAGTCCACGAGATCCGACAGTTTGTTAGCCAGAGCCATGGTAAGCTGAGCTGTAGGCGGCGGCTGCTGACCCACAACGATGGCCTCGATAACGCCAAGGAGCTTTTCGGCAAGGTATAGATTGTTATTACTTGAGAGAGCACTCTGGGTGTTCTCAGGATCCTTCAATTGCGATGACGCCGGTACAAGAGCTAAGAATCGCTGGCGGGCCTGGCTTTGCAAGTGGCGAGAGATGTCCTTGCTCAGGCAGGGGAGCATGGTCGTCCACATGACATTCTGGGCTCCAATCGCACGGTCCATAGCTTGTGCAAATAAATCATACTGCGACACGCTCTGCGGCGCATTTTCGCTCTCAGTCTGACGAGGCGGCGTAACGGAAAGATCCATGTTGAGCTTGATCTGGCAAAATGGCATGGTGAGCTCGTTCGTCTGGCGCAAGATTTCGTCATAAGGCGCCGTCAACGACGATCTATCCTTGGCCCCGCGTTGCTTGAAGAGATTGCTAATGATTTCATGTATCAGGCGGAAGGCTCCTGGATGGACTTTTTGTACGCTAAACGCCTCTGTAACGTCCGCGGTGTGCATAACAACCAAGAGCTGCAAAGCGTCTAGTATCCTGTTTCGGTATGCGACGTCGTCAAGCGGTAGTTTCACATTGCCGTCTCCAGCTCGGAGTTCAGCATATTCAATGATGGCGTGGCGTATGAGTGAAAGCAGGCCTTTGTGATGGCTGAAATGAATAGACTGCTGGCAGATTCCGAAGCGATATACTTCTTCCTGGCTGAGATCTGTATCATCCGGCAATTTCGAGAGGGTCAAGTGAAGCAGTTCTTGGTGAAAAGTTGCTGCTCCGGGAGATGACAGATCTGGTGGTGCAGCCCCTGCCGATTCAGCATCTCCCTGGGGCGCAGGAGCTGGAGTCAAGCTTGTAGGCCCAAAGAGGAAAGAAACGGGCAAAGCGTCAGTAATAATCAGGAGAGGAAAGACGGCATGCAATTTTTCCCGCTTCTTCATCAACCGAACTCGCCCAACCCAGTCAGACATGAGCTTATCGAAATGCTGAGCATCGAATAAACGGAGACGAGTGAGGAGGGAGGCATGAATCCTCCGGTTATCATCCATCTTGGCCCAACCAAGTTCAAGTCTACGTATGATGTATGCAAAAAGGCGATTCATGGTTGGGTGATCGATGCTATTTCCGCTTGCCAACAGTTTCTCAATCTGTTCTGAGACCTCGCCATCAGCACCTGACAGCGGGTTGGCCATGTTATTATCGGAAACTGGTGAGCAGGCGTCGGTGGCATTGTTGCGATCATTTAGAAAAAGTTCGTGAGCTAGAATTTTAGAAATCTCTTGGCGATTAGGCATCCGCCGGGAAAGGGAGCATAGAGAAGCGAGCAGCGGGCGGGACACAAGGCCCTGCTCTTGGTTAATAGCCTTGAGCCGCTCGAAGAAGACGGTGAACAAGCGCTCGGCAGTGCCTTGGGCGTAAAAAACTTGCAGATTCAAGTTCAGAGTTTCAACACAAGACGCAAGGACTTCGATGTTGGTGGTCCTGGAGCAAAATTTGAGTATTTCGCAAAGGGCATAAAAGTCTTGTGTGGCCTCGAGAATGGTGCGGATGGCAGAAAATAGACGCTGTGACATGGCTTGGACAGATTTGTTGAGCCTCATCACGCTATCACGCAAGTGGACGCCTACGGCGCATCGCAAAGCCCTTGAGCTGTTGACGATCATTGGGAGAAGCTTTCGCAGTGGTATGGGCTTCCTGCCAGACATGTCGTTGTCCTGCATAGGCAAGCCCAGGGTGTGGCTGACGCACATTAGGGCGTTGTGGATGTCGTCTGCTTCCTCGATGACGGAATAGTTAGCTGCTCGCCTAAGCAGGTTGCTTCGATCATCTTTCTGGTCTTCTGTCAGGTAATGCACGGGGAGGTGGACCAGCAATCTGGTGGTACAGGGAGCCTCGTCAGAGTTCACTTCAGATGGATGACTGCAGCCGCCGCGAGCCATGAGCCACTTTATATACTGGGTGACCGAGAACTGCCCCGTCCGAACCAACTCCACCACAAGATGGTACGCCATCTGCTTCCGTCCCTCGTCGTCGGCGGGTATGGTGTCCATGTGCTCAAGGATTGCACCAGTGACATCAATCCTCAACGACGCCCAGACTCTGATCAGGTTGGCGGCAATGTAGACCCTTGCTAAACCAGGGCGATAAAAGGATGTTGCCCAATCCACGGTGGTCTTTACAATATCGGTCTTGTCGTCCCCGGTGGCCCAGCATTTCTGGGGCAGATCGCGGTTTATCTGGCTAAGCAGGGTTGCGTCTAGGAGCCGTACCAACTGTGGCCGCCCAGCAAGTGGCGAGGTATTGCTCGTAATAGATACCTGGCCATTCCGAGTATTGATATGAGAATATGCGTCCCGACTTGCTTTGTCATCCCGCGGTAGTGAGGCGTCCAAGGCGTCTCTATGCTTTGCCCATAGGCTTGGGTCAATAAAGCTGTCGGATTTATCTCTGACAAGTGAGGCTAGTAAGGTGGAAAGCTGGCTCGATAGTTGAATGAGGATATCTTTGTCGGGATGGATATAGATCTATGGTTTTTGTTAGGGTCAGGTATCTTAACTGACTGCAACGTGCCTTTATTTTCCTTTTTTTTTTCTTTTTTTTTTTTTTTTTTGGTTTTTCAAATGAAGCGGCAAGGGCTACGAAAGGAAGAAAGATAAAGGTATAAACGGCAAAAGAATACAGCTGACTTACCGTATGGAGGTGGCCGAGCAAGGCATAAACAAGACGGCGCCCATACTTTCGTGAGCGTAGGATGTCGGCCCAGCAGATCTGAGCAATCAAAATCCACATGGGAAGCTTGGACTGCGGACTGTGCTCCAAGCCAGATGTGATCCAGTCAAGATAGTGGTCTCGATCGAGAAGCTGCTCGGCGTAAAAACTTGTCGCTAGTCGAATGGCATAAGTCACCTTGGCTTTCCAGTCTGGCTCGCCAAACGAGAAAGTTGTGGATTCGATAAACTGTTCCACAAAGACTGTCCAGTCTCTGATCCACTTGAACTCGCCGGCGATGGCAAAAGCACCACCACCGGGAGCTCCCTTCCTCTTAAAGGCACGAATCTCATTGGCGCCAACACATTTGGCCAGCCAGACAGCCCTTTCGGTAGGAACGCTCTTATTCAGGCACTGGTCGAGAAGGGTTCGGCCGCGAATACCGTGGGGGATAGTCCTGCTAAGTCGGCGAAGAGAAATGGCAGGATTGGCCAAATCTCTCATCCATACTTCTCGTTTCGTATCGGTCAAAGTCACTCGTGGAGGAGGTTTAAAAGTCGATGGGGCCGTAACGTGGCCTCGAAGTCTACGCTGGTTAAGAATACCCATAAAGATGGTAGATAGAGCGCCCAGGCCAGGCTTTTGCTTGATAGCCGGGGATATGGTCATTCTCGCGGTGCCCGTCTCGTTTTGGCTGCCGCGGTCCCACGTACCCTTTTGGATCGCCTCTTGGCTCCAGTCGTCCTCGTGGTGCTTGACATCCTTGGTGCCATGCCAGGGAAAGAAGTCGGCATACCCAGAATAGAGTCCCCGACTGAACGGATCACCGCTTCGTGCGAACCGATCGTCGCTAGTAGGGGGTGGGCGTTTCTCGGCAGGAGGATAGCGCGGAGCATCTTTGGGAACCTCAACAGTCCATGGCTTCGGGCGACCGTCTTTTTTGAGGGCCGGGGCGGGACGCGGAGGAGCTTCTACTCGTTTCGATAGCTTTGAGTATGTTTGCGATGCCGGCAGGCGTCGTTTGGGCATGGGTAGAGGGATGTTGTCGTTGTCGAGGTCGGCAGCTGAGGCTCGGGTAGGCGTTGGACTCGAGTCGCCAACATCTCCTCCGTCAGCCATGGACGGCACACGCGACGTGGTGTGGCTCTGGGGCGACGAGGCAGCAGACGTTGGAGCTGAAGCCGTGGCCGATGCCGTGGCCGATAGCAGCGCTGAGGTTCCGTGCGGCGGGTCGACGTTGGACAGCTCGAGTCGCAGTCGAGAGCCGGCTCTGCGCGGCGTGGTTACGAGGCGAGCATGGCTCTGGGCTTGGGTGGTGCTCTGGCCATGCGTCTGGGCCTGGAAATGGTCGATGGAGTCGCTCGAGGCATCGCTGAGGGCCGAGTCCTTGCGCACGGGCGACGAGGGAAACAGCTGCTGCGACAGAGCGCGTTGAGGCGGAGGCCGCTGAACCGGCGGCAGCGTCGAACTGCTGATGGTTCGCTGCGGCGGTCGCGGGTGGACGCCGATGGGGGTCCTGGAGGTCATCTCTCAGACGGGAGGTGAGGCGCCATCCCGTTGTGTTGCCGGTTATAGAGATGTGGATAGAGCAGATGGAGGTTTCGAAGTTGCCGTTCGAAGCGTCGACCAGGTGCCAGGCGCTGGGTGCCAGGTGCTAGGCAAGGTCTGGTAGGACGAGTAAGCGATGGTGCAGCTTCGCCAGAGAATAGTCGGGTCTCGGGGGCGACGAAGGAGGGATATCGTTGATCGAAACGCCGGGCAGAAGAGACTGGAGAGGGTGCAACTGATGCTCCAGCCAAAGCAGACGAGCAGAGACGAAGTGGATGCTGATTTGAGCCCCGAGCAAATGGTACGGAAGCGTCAACCGGTGGCCGGCAGAAGGGACTGGAGTTTGTATTTTCCCGCTGTACCCGAATATCAGCCCCAGCCCCCGGGCGTTGCAACAGAGGAGCACCGCAGATTGCAGATTGCGATAACGCAGCCCGCAAGGACGATTGATTTGCGTACCTTTTTGAGAGAGAGGACGTGGAGGGGACGATGCAATGGATCGCAGCAGATGAAGCAGAGAAGAATAGAATAAACCTCACGATGACGGGATTCTCCAAAATGGGAAGAAGGAGATGGACGATGGACGTGCCAGAGCGAAGCTGACGGCTGCCACCTGCTAATTTTTGGCTTTTCCGGTCAAGGCACAGGGTGCTTGTACCTGTACCTGCGCCTGTGCCTGTAGCGCGCACGGATAGAAGGCGGTCCGTACCTATCAGCACCCTGGACACTGTACATATGCAGGCTGGCGAGTGTGGTAGGGCCTGCACTGGCGCCTGTATCTACTACTGCTTGGGCCGCCACAGATGGTGTGATGGGGAATTAAAACGGGGTCTGGTAGAACCTAACAGGCTGAGTGTTTGTTTCTCTCAAGACAACATGTGCCTGATTTAAATACCTGTACACATGAAGAAAAATAAAAATAAAAATAAAAAATACGAAGCGATCGATCTGCGGGCACGAGTTGATAGAAAAAGGGCGGTGCGGGCTACTGGAAGGAGGCGTAGCGCATGTGCGGTGAATTGCGGCCTAGCACTCGCTGTAAGACATTCACTGTCAATGTGCGCTGCGCTACGGGCGGATCGTCTCAACGGTTCATGTTGTAACTGACGGGGTTGATATTGAGGATAGTCGTATCTATTCGGTGCTTTCTGGTTGTAACAAGCACGCAGATCACGATGGCCAAGTCTAATGGTAGTCGCACTTGGTTGACATTTTAGTAAATACTGGTATGCCTCAAATGCTTCTTTTTTTCTTCCTCTTTCCATCTTTCGTGGGCAGTGCGAGCTCAAAGTACATCATTGATATGGATGTTTTACGCCTTGCAGGCCAGAGAATGCGGAGAAAGGGACGCTAAGTTGGAGCACAGGCGTCGAGAAAGCCCCAGGTAACGATACTTGAGCTTACTAGAAGCACTGTCAGCGATAAGAGCACAGGGAGGCAGATATTACTGGCTGCTGCGCAGTGCTAGCTCCCAGCCACACACATGGCCTCGAGATGAGATTGCAGAGAAGCAAACAACATGAAGCTACCAGCCGCTAATTCAGCCGCGGACAAAGTATGCCATCCATCCGCCAGCATGCTAAGAGATCCCAGGCCCGGCTTGTGCGTTATTAGGCGCAAAGAGGAACCCAGTCTGTCAAAGCTTTCTGATTGCAGGAATACCTCTCGCCTGAACACGTCTGGAGGGGGCGTGCAGTGCTTCCTCTTTCGGCCGTAGCGATATGGCATCAAATCGAGCCGCCTGTGTTGACTGCATTTCAGGGCCTTGGAGGCTATCGGCGCACTAAAGATGCAGCGCTAACCCTTGGCCAGCTACGTGCTCCGTACTGTTCCATGGCGGCTAATCCTTAGGTAATCATTCCGCCAACCGCGACATCCTTATGGATTAGTATTTTTGCGTTGTGGCTTGCTGCGGCCACCCCGTTGCGGCCAAGTCATCTCCAAGATTTCCCCTCAGATGATTAATGGGTAGGCCTGGTTGGCAGATGGACGGATGGACGGCTGCTATTAGGCAGTGCTCACGTATCATACAATATGTTACGCACTTGGAGCCGAACCAAGGACGTGATAGGGGGAGGCAAAAAGTAAGCTGGTCACGGTGCTGGAAATGTTTCATTGTTCCGAACCACCTCCAAGTTTGCACGACTCATGACTTGACTCGACTTCGAATCGACTTTTCGTCGGCTTGGCGTTTATTGCCATGGTTTCGGCAATATTCTACCCGGATGCCATTACGAAACCTTGGCCCTGCTATTACTCAGTCGAGATGTTTCCAAGACCGAGAATAAAGCGCCAGCCAACCTAGTCTCAACTACACGTACCTGCTCGGAAGGATGAGGCACGCATGTAAGTATACGGGCTAATGATGAGGCGAATAGGCCAAAGACGGCCGGACAAACCGAATCCGCCACCTGGTGAGACTGCTGTCCAATCTATCTGCACTGCACACCTGGGCAAGTTGACAAGTACGCAGCAAAAGCTCAGCACCATGCATGGCTCTCGCCCGTCGTATTTGATTTGATCTTGTTGATCCTCTCATGCTATCCGTCTCTCCCCTGTGTGGGAGGGGCGCACCGCTACAGTTTAAAGAGCGCATACTATTCGACGTGCCTTGCTCGGAGAGGCAAACAGGCAAACAGTCCACCCGGCGCAGAGAAACTGACCGAGATCAACCTGGTCTGGCCATGTAGGTAAGCAGATGGGGTATCAGACATGCCGGAAACTTTCTTTGGAAGCACACTTTGGAAATCAAGTTCTAGCCTTATTGCTGCCCCTACAACTACCTACAACAGCATTACAACTAACAATATAGCTCTCGGCTGGACCCCATATGTCCTCCATCTTCTCCATGCAGTAGTGCCAGTTGTGGGCGACGTTAGCATCGTGATATGCGCATGTGGCGCTGTTGCATCATCTTGCAACAAGTCTCCATCACCAATGGCAATTAGTCAACACAAAAGGCTCCGACGACTACTACTTGATAGCCTCGAGTTGAGCCCTAAACTTAGCCTTCAGCGGGGGTTATCAAAGCGGTGAAGCTAGTTCTTCTCCTTTATGGTCTACTATGCCTTGATGAATGCAACTACAATAAGGATCGATGGTGCCCAGAAGACCATGCCATCTGCCAGCCCATTATTCGACGACAGGAGCTGCAAGTGCCAATGTAAGCGAGCAGCCAACAGGCCTATTCCTGGTGGATCCCCGGCTACTGTTTCTTCCTTTATCGTCTGTCGGGGCCACAGCCCGGAGTAGTCCGCCCCAAGTTGAGATTTACCGCATGTATAAACTGAAACCAACCATTTGTAGTTGGCGTAGCACCGGGCAAGGGAAGAGCCGGTCTCGTATCGGACAGCCAGATCTGCAATCTAGCCCACTCTTTGAGGCAAGAGGTTCAGACAAGACATTGTCTTGGTCCATACATGTACTCTGCCCACGAAGATGCATGTATGCTCACGGGATGCATTGCTATGGCTCTGGGTACATGTATACATGTACTGCCCACCTGCAGAAGCATGATTCTCGGCAAAAGCCATTGGCCAAATAAGACGAGATATGGAGGTGGAAGATAAACGTGCATTAAAGCTGTGCCTGGCGTCCAAAGGTAGCATTTAGGCAAGACGATGATAGGCTGGCACAATTGTCCGGGCTGCACTTCAAAGCTGTGATACCCCGAGCTCCTGACAATAAGCTCACACGCATATGCGCGAATTGGGCACAAATCCTGGATATAACGCTATATCCATTTCCCCTCAGCAGCTATTTTCATGTACCTCTTTTCAAAAATCCAATATCAAATGTTTTGGAAAAGGCAGCATGTTGTCTATGAGCCGTACGAGATCCAGACTATGTACGTGTAGCTTTGCTTACCCGGCAGAATACCACCACATGCGTGGAGCAAATAGAGCCAATTCCGTCAAGCTGTAACTTCTTTGCAGAACTATGGATGCCATTACGTCAAGCCCTCGGGAAAAAAAAACGAGATAAGAGAGAAGAAAAAGAATAAAGGCTTTTGACCTGTTAGTTGCGTGATCCCCGTCCTTGTTAGTATCGGGATCCATTTTAGCCTCCAGGCTGCTGCACGATCCGTACCGTCTTTCGCACCTCCAGAGAGGTACGTGTACAAATAGGATGAATATCCGGCCTGCATGTGAGAACAGGGCTCAATGCATCGGATCGGGCCCCTTCCGTCTCGGGTGAATGGCGAGACAACAACAACAACAACAACAGCAGCAATATCCATACTGCAGCAGAATACGCTCTCGTGTGCCTGATGCTGGCCGTGCGTATAAGCCGAGGCCCAATGCGCCGCTTGTTTCAGGCATCCGCATTGTTACACGAGATGCTTGGGCATACCTACTTATTTTACTCATCTTTTTACTTTTTGTCAGTTTGTCTGTGATACTCCATACCATATGCGTATCAAAAAAAAAGTAATTTGTACAAGTGGGAAACTGGCAACATGACGAATGCAATGCCACGTCGACACTCGGCTCGCTCGCTATTTACTACATGTACCTAAGAGTATAGCATCTGCTATGGGAGTAAGGACATCTCAACAACGGTCAATTGAGGTTCAGAAAATAATGATTGTACTATTGCCAGTAACGATGCTAGCTTGCGAAAATAGCCAATAAAAAACAAAAAAGAGAAAACATGAAACTGTTAAACGTAACATCGTTGGCAGCACAACTAGCATGTAACTTCGCCACATCATATCATCAGTCACACATTGGTTATACAAATTTGGTGACAGCCACCTCGTCGCCATAATAGACAGGTCATGCAAATCAAACACTACCTTATAAATCAAAGCTCATCAGCCTCGGCCTTGCTCCACTCGCTCCAGCCCTTCTTCTCGCCAGGCAGCTGAACCTGCTCCCACTCGTCCTTGGTCACCTTGTTCCACTCCTCAATGGGGATCCATCCAATATACGCACGGTCGCCGAAGCCGCCAATCCAGTACACCTTTGTGACCACCAGCCTGGCCCATTCGCTGGTGTGAATCTTGTTGCCTGGCAGCCAGTACTTTGCGTCCGGGTGCTTGGACGTGTAGCAGTAGGCGAGCCGGAGAGACTCTTTGAGATCGGGCTTGATGGGCTCGAGGTAGCCAATCAGCGAGAATCGGGGTAGATTGGCCGCAGAGTAGGGCACCGTGTCTGGGAGAGACGAATCATCTGCTACATCGTCATACTTGTCGCTGATATATGGGAAATAGGAAAGCAGACGAGACAGCAGCGGAATGCGTCTGGCGGGCGGGTATGGCGGAGTCCATTGCACGGACAGCGTGAGGTTGGAGCCCGCCTGGGCGTTTTTGTAGCTGGTGGAAATCTTGATGGCTAGCAAGGTCGGGTGTCCTTGGCCTTCGCAATCGGCAATGTACTCCATCTGACCGAATGGCAGGCCATCGAGACCTTCCGGCCGATTCTCCGTCGCGTCGGCAGCATCTTCGCTGGACGACGATGACGACGACGATGATGAGTTGGGAAACGTCGATGACAATGTACCAAGTTTCGTCAGGGCCAGGACGCGGCGGCCCAGAACGGCGGACTCGTAGCTGGATGGAATGCGAGAGGCAAAGCTGTCGTCAAAGCCGCCGAATAGCGGACCGTGGAGCTCGACGGCGGTTGCACAGCCGGTGAGGCCGGTGATGACGCTAAGAAACTTCATGGTGTGCAGGTAGACGAATAAACGGCAAAGGAAGAGAGCTGCAGAATCTACCGATGTAATTGGTTAGCCAGTTACACAGCTGAATTAAAGCTGCATGCAGTAGCACCGCTGATTAAAGGATATTCATTGAGGAAGTAAAGGCAGGCGGCATACTTTTTAGTTTAATGTATCACGGTTTTGATGGCAATTGCCGTCGGTGAGGAGTACGAGATGAAAGAAGAGGAGATCGGCTCATGAAGCCGTTGGGGGAAACGTCCCCTGGTCGTTTTACGTCTGATCAAGTGATTGCGGGATGGCGTCGGCATGTGACGGAAGCGAGATTGATTGATAAGATCTGAACTGACGACGTGATTGGCTGGATGGGGGCAATGCCGATGCACTCCGAGCTTTACGGATCGTTCGATTTATGCGGAGTATCTGGAGTATTTGGACTTGTACTTGCAAAGGTTACTAGTATGTTTCAATTGGGTTTTGATTTCCGTGAGCACAAAGTGGATGATAAATTGCGAGGCCACAATGCTAGACTCAATTTACATGTACATGTACTTTGTTCAGCCTCTGATATCTTCTTGCATATGCCGTTTCGTAAACCGGGAGACGGGTGTTAGCTCGAATGTCTGCACCAATCTGACGGTGGGTAGTTGGGGATATAGCTTCTCAGCCTCTTCTTGGCTCATCTGATCCAAAAAGCTCTCAGCCAGCGGCAACATTGGATAACGATGCGACATCCATCCCTTTGAGAGGAGCAGCCTGGCATCTCTCCAAGCCTTCATCTTTTCGGCTGGAGGTCGAATTATGCCCTGTAGCCTCGTAACGGCTTCCGTGTGCCACCAGCCCATGGCATTGACATCGTCACTGTCGCTCATTTCAAGTATTTGTTCGAGGCGCTCAAGCTCTTGGTCGTCTTCCACATCAATCAGAGCAAATGACTGGTCTCTGAACAGCCGAGCCACCGCCTGCGGCTGCCATGACCGGTTTTCGACCTGAAATGGATTCCCCACTGAAAGATAGATGGTGTTGACACTTTGAAGGTTGCTAGACTTGCTATTCATTCCGGTTATCGACAAATCATTAACGAGGCCCACGTCAAGTATGATTGCCCTTGCCCCTCGAAGAAGGCCCGTCTGCAAAGGTATGAATCCGTTTTCTGATATGCAGTAAGAGGAAAGGTCCAATATGTCTCTCCGTCCACTGAACCAGGTCCAAAATACGGGGGTGAGGAACCAATGGCGGTATAACCCCCCTTGCTGATATGCAACGAGTCGGGCTTCTCGGCAGACGCGGGAGATTGTTGGCGGAGGGAGGCTCTTGCGTTGCAGATGAGAAGGCTCTAAATAGCGAAACGGCCTGAAGATTTGCGGAGGGATAGCCAGCTTCCATATGTAACGCCTCAATTCTGGCGGTAGACGTGAAAACGGAGCAAATTCGGCCTGCCTTGCACGATACGACTCGAGTTGACACCCAGTTGTATGATGCGCTGCTGCTGGAGGATTTGAATGTTTTGGAATCTCTTGACTGTTTCCTGCATCTCTTTAAGGTTTTCCGAAACCAACTTTGGGTAAGAGCTCGAGAGATCCATGGTGGCAGACTGAGCTTTGCCTTTTCTATCGCCAAGCTACATGCAGACCACCTGTACTCGAACCAAGCAAAGGCGATGATGACATTATATATGAGCATGACTTCAAAGAGTAAAAAGTGCTAACATGTGTGGTATTCATGACGGAATATGAATGTTTACATGGCAGTGACTATCTGCTAGTAAAAGGCATCATCATCAGAGTCGCTTCTACGGACCAGAGCTTGTGAGTTGGTCTTTATCCCCTTGTCTATTGGTATGTCGTATGCTTTGTCTGAATGACTAGTGGGAATTGATCACGGACTCTTTGAAGAACTACCTATTTCATGTGAGGACAGCTGGTGGTGTACTCTGTCGAGCTGAGATTGCATTGACTGTGAGCGTCTTTACTTGAAAAGAGCGGTAGCTATGAGTGCAGTGTGCATATGAGATGAACTACTACATGTATTTACAACGACCTACAGTGAAATCGTCCAACAGCACGGTGAGAGAGCGCATAGTCTTGTTCTCCGCTGAATCTCGATAAGGTAACGATTCACAGCACGTCCTCATGGCAAGACCTCCTAGTACCTCGAAGTATGGACCCGTTTGTTTGTTTACTTGTTTTGATGAGAAATCTCGTCTTACATGCATAGATTGCATAGACGTAGTGGTAAGCGTTGGACATGTCTCCAAGTGGCACAAAGCACGAGATTCCAATCAAAGCCTTGCTTGCCATACTTCCGCATGCGGGTTTTTGCGTTACTTTGCGACTCGAAGCCATTGCTTCTTTTTAATTTGACAAAATCTCCCTTTGTTTATCGTAACACCACTTGTTGTGTGCGTGCGTGCGTGCGTGCGTGTGCACTCTCCAGCTGCTTAACTACAGCATACCTACCTCTTGTTGTCATGGAAATGAGCCCCTTCAGCTCAGACAACATAATCAAGTGACGCTAATCCTTATGCAGGGTTCGGAACATCATCTGCAAGGAATCCGATTGAGACATTTAGCTTTTGACACAAAGGGAAAAAGAAAACTTCGTATTCGGCCAACAAAGAACCTTAAAAAGCAAAGAGAGAGAGAGAAAAACGCTTTGGTGTGCTGAAACAAAGCTCCCCCAGAGCTGAGACCACCCCCGCTGCTGAGGTCATCGCTGCAGCGCCCCTCCGTTCCCATAGCGGGAGCCACAAGGGGACAGGGAAGGGGGCGCTACAGGGCACAAATCAGAGCGCTGGCACTCAATGCCACCGATGGCGCTTGTCGCTGCTAGCACGCATAGCGCTGCAATTTTCTGGGCTAGCAGGCCCCTTTGCCCTGCGGAAGGGCTGTTTGGCGCGCAGGTGGGCTCCTGTGCTGCAGTGTTTAGCGGGCTGTCCCAGCAGCCTCAGCGCCCCCACCCGCACTTGGATGATGCTTGTTGCTGCTGCAACCATGTTGATTTTGGCTTGGCTTGATCCAATCGCCGGCTCGTCTCCAACATCCCACTTACCGAAAAGGCCAGCCCCCGGTCGCCTTCTTACTTTTTGCGAGCGGCAGCGAATGACAGCCTCGAGGAAGCGATCTCAGAGCCCAAGAGAGTGGTTGACTAGATCATCAAGCGAACTATCATCTACGAATCCATCCATCGGTGGTGCTACCCGAAAAATAGAAGGGCTACGAGAGAGAGGTTTGTTTTGTTTACGTTGTTTTGGTTCGTAATGCTCGCCTCGCGCCTTTCAACTTCCGTTCAGTTTGGCTGACACTATTTGCTTCTTCCTTGCTCTTCTAGAGTGACCAGACAGCATCGACTTTCTCTTTACTCAGCATATATTTGGTGCTGTTAGCATTGACTCCTTCGAATCATCTTACCATCATCCTTTCTCTTCCTCTTCTCTTCTCTTCTCCGTTATCCGTATTTCGAAACATTGAATTTCGATTCTGCCGGATCAACTCCAAGGAGGGGGATCTGCAGACGCACAGAACATCTGCCTACTAGTGATCCATTACCGTATGCGCGCATCCGTACAGCCTGAAGCAGGAACAGAAACAGAAGCAAGAGCGCAAGTAAAAGCAACGGCAGATCGATCCAACCAGCTGCTGCGACCAGGCATCTGCTTCCAGACACTGCGTGCTTGACTTGATTTGATTTGATTTGATTTGCTCCCGTCGTCCGCTACTGCAGACGCTCACCCACCAGCCAATCGATCGATCCAGCTCGCTTGCTCTCCCCTGGTCGCCCAGTCCAGTCCAGCCAGTCCACTCTCCACCGCTGCCGCCACGTCACGCCTTGCAGTGGGTTAAAGAGGGAAAGCAAGAAAAAAAAAGATGGCCAGCTTCATGTCGACCTTCTTCCCCGGCAGCTCCAGCGTCGGCACCAGCAGCAGCTCCGGCAGGGACAAGGCGCCGCGGGCTGGAGACGCACACGCCGAGCCTCGCCCCGTCACGCCCACCATGAACATCAACAGCTTCATCAACCCGCTCAACACGCCGCTGGGCAGCCCCAGCAAACGGACGATCCCGCCCGGCGCGAACGACCTGCCCACCGCCTTTGACGCCGCCATGAACCTCAACCTGGGCTCCAACGTGAGCTCCAACGTCAGCTCCAACCTGAGTTCCAATCTGAGCTCCAGCTCCAGCGGCGGCGGTTTTGACGCTCCCGTCAGGCTGACGCCTCGCCCGCAGAGCGTCATCGCTCCGCTTTCGCCCTCGCCGGCCAAGGCCAACGGCAGCAGCAGCAGCGCCAACAACGCCAACGGCAGCAGCAAAAGAGCTGCGCAGCCTCCGCCTCAGTCGCAATCTCAGTCTCTGTCTCAATCCCAGTCTCGGACTCCCCAGCCCCGGACGCCTCAGCCTCTCACTCTTCAGTCTCTCGAGCAGCAGCAGCGCCAGCAAGATGAGGAGGAAGAGGGCACCGCCGCCCCCCTCGATGGCAGCGTCGTGCAGAAAAAGATACCAAAGCCGGACAAGGTAGAAAAGGTGGAAAAGGTGCAAAGGACAGAAAAGGGGAGAGCATCGCCTGGCTCACCGCGCAAGCGACACGCCCAGCCTGCTCAAGCTCATGATCCAAATGCGCCGCCGCCTGGGCCTCGTCTCGCCGCTCAAGACCAAGATCGCCACGCGCACCACAGCCATGCCGCGCTCTCTCGCCAGCAGATGTACGATACCAAGGGGGAACGTCCTATTATAGCTAAGAGGTTTAACACGGCTCGTGGCTTGACGGCCGAGGAGCGCGAGATTCTGCAGCGGCCCAATGTGCGCCGCATGGTCAATGTCACCCAGCTCTGTAAGTTTTGTGCTACTGTTGTTGCTGTTTCTACTCTCGAGGCTTTGGCTGACATGATGGACTCTTTGCCCTAGACTTCCTCGACTACTACTTTGACTTGCTCACATATGTCGGTGCACGGCAGAAGCGCCTCGCCGCCTTCAAGAGCGAGTTCCCAGAATCCCCCGAGACGGACCCGGAAACCCACCGAGTGTGGTCCAAGTACACTGGCCGAGAGCGCGCCAACCTTCGAAAGCGTCGCATTCGATTAAAACAGGGCGATTTTCAGATTCTCACCCAGGTCGGCCAGGGCGGCTACGGCCAAGTCTTTCTAGCTCAGAAAAAGGACACGCGCGAGGTGTGTGCGCTCAAGGTGATGAGCAAAAAGCTGCTCTTCAAGCTGGACGAGGTCCGCCATGTCCTAACGGAGCGTGACATCCTGACAACGGCGCAAAGCGACTGGCTGGTCCGGCTCCTGTACTCATTCCAGGACGACAAGAACATCTATCTCGCCATGGAATACGTGCCTGGCGGCGACTTCCGTACTCTCCTTAACAATACGGGGGTGCTGTCCAACCGACATGCGCGCTTCTACATTGCCGAGATGTTCTGCTCAGTCGACGCTCTTCACAAGCTCGGTTACATCCACCGCGATCTGAAGCCTGAAAACTTCCTCGTCGACTCCACGGGCCATGTCAAGCTGACCGACTTTGGCCTCGCTGCCGGTGTTTTGGCCCCGTCAAAGATTGAATCCATGCGCATCAAGCTGGAACAGGCTTCCGAGACACCAGTACCATTTGGCAAGCCAATAGGCCAGCGAACGGTAGCCGAGCGTCGCGAGAGCTACCGAACCATGCGGGATAACGATGTCAACTACGCAAAGTCCATTGTCGGCTCGCCCGACTACATGGCACCAGAGGTTCTCAGAGGAGAAGAGTACGATTACACGGTGGATTACTGGAGTTTGGGCTGCATGCTGTTCGAGGCCCTGACCGGCTTCCCCCCCTTTGCTGGTTCGACCCCTGACGAGACGTGGCGCAATTTGAAGCATTGGAAAGAGGTTCTTAAGAGGCCCGTCTGGGAAGACCCTAACTATTTCTTGAGCAACCGGACGTGGAATTTCATTACTACGTGAGTTTCTCTGCTTCTATGTTTATCCTGACTCTGTTTATCAAGGAAAATTAACAAGTTGTCTTCTCTTAGCTGCATCAATTCACGGACAAAGCGCTTCAGTGAGATTAAGGACATTTTTGCCCACCAGTACTTCGCCGAAGTCGACTGGGAGACGCTGCGCCAGACCAGAGCGCCCTTCGTGCCAGAGCTGGACTCTGAGACGGATGCCGGCTACTTTGATGACTTTGGCAACGATGCCGACATGGCCAAGTATAAAGAGGTCCACGACAAGCAGCAGGCCTTGGAAAGCATGGCAGAGCGCGAGGAAGAGATGAGCAAGAGTCTCTTTGTCGGCTTCACGTTCCGGCACCGCAAGCCCGCCACCGATGACGGCGATGGAAGCAATAGCCCGCGGAAGCGCATCCCGACCGACGACTCGTTTGGTACCATGTTTTAGGGCGAGCCATTGTGCTCCAATTGGGGATATCGCAGGCCTCCTGCGATACGTCGGCCTCAGCTATTTTGACCCTTTTCTGTCTCTTGCGTGTCTTGTAAGCAGTAAACAAGCATTTTGGGCCTTTTTTACTTTTTGCTTTTTCCGTTGTTTCTTGGTTTGGCCTTTTAGAGGATTTTCCTATTCTTTTGACATACCACTGCGAGACGTTCTTGTCTCCCCCCTTTGTTTTGCTACATGGCATCTTTCTGCATTTCATCTGCTGCTGGCTGGGATACCAAAGTAATCTATTTTAATGTACTGCTAGCCTCTCGTCACTGTGTGTCCCATTTCTAGCCCTCTCCCACTGTCGTTCTGTTGTCCTTGGATTTGCCCTTGGATTTCTTTTTTGTTACACTTCATTCGTTTTCTTTCTATTTCCAGGCTTGGAGTTGCAGAGATGGACACTGATAATTAAGACCAGGAGGGAATGTCACAAAGTGAAGGGGCCTTGGGTAGGCTTTTCTTCTTTCTCTTCTTGATGGCATTGAGAAACAAAATTGGATGGAAATATGGCCGGGGTAGTGGGCAGAACTTGCCAGGACAAGGGTTTTTTATTGTGTGCGTGTACGTGTGCGTGTGTATGTGTGGCAAATTGGGCATGAATAGTCTCCGCCATGGATGAATGGCGATGAGACTTTCTTCTTCTTGTTTTGAGAATCCGTTCATGTAGGAGTAACGAGTATGAGTATATGGTACACAGGTAGATGAATCAAATGTATGGCTTTGTACCCAGGTTGTGTTTCGCGTGACGTCCATTGTATAAGAAGGGTGAATTCGTTCATTGATAACTACCGTCACCTTCACGACTCTTTCTAAATAAATCTTTGTCATCATCACAAATCTTTCTGAACAATCTTTCTCGTCATCATAAGTCTTTCCCATGGCTAGGACATGGCTTTCTACACACTTGTCTTTCTCTGCAATTCAAAAAAATGTAAATAGCAAAACTCATCTCATTGTCATCAAGAGGGGATAAAAATAAAAGAGGCTGCTCTCAGGGCAATCGATTGAGGAGATAAAATGGACAACGCCGCCACCATTATCCAAAACTAAGTCTATAGGAAATGAAAAGAAAACAAGACAAGACAAAACAAAAGACAAGAACCACCATCTCATCTCATGCGGCGAGAGGCCAAACTCCGTAGCGTCATCATCAACCAGCTTTCTTTCTTCATAAATTGGCTGAAAAGAGTGACCGACTAGTCCCTTCCCTAAACTTGGACAGGTTCGTCTGTTGAGTCCTTCAGGTACGAAGAAAAAAAAAAGTACCCTGTTGGTCTCCTTGGTAGCAGCACGCGCTCTTCTTGTTGTGCCAGAGATTGAAAAAACAAAAGCTGATAGAATAAAAAATACCATAAAACCGCTTTCTCGAATGTTTCCCGCCCCTGTTATTCATCCCGAATAAGAACTTATTATCAGACTGTGTGCCAACTCTTAACTGCAAAGAAAAAAAATAATCATCAAAAACAATAATTCAGACCAAGGTATCATTGCTTGAACCAACACGCCATGGAGATGCCCATTCATATACGCCCTTATTCCCTCGACGTCGTGAAAAGACTCTTTCGTGAATAACGCAATCGAGCCGCCTGCATTACCAGCGACGTAAACAAGTCGCGTCTCTCTTCAGATATATATCCACTATGTCTTCTGAGGCCACCGTCTTTTGTGAAATCTTTCACTCGACTAAAAAGAGAAAGAAATAAAACATAACAGAAGGTAAAAATAACAAAACAAGTTTTAATTGCTATACGCCGTACAGCAAGCATTCACAAACAAGCCATGTGCTCGTGAAAATCTAAAACTTCTGTCCAGATATCGTGGTTGATGAATGACAGGACAATTCTTTCAAAGACTCATAGTCAGCCACTCCCATTCCTGGGGCCCTGACGAGCCACCAGCGCCATTGACTAGGCCGGGCTGAGAACCGCCCATCGATACCATGTTGGATCCTATGCTCGATCCCATCATGGAGCGCTGACCCATGGAAAAGTTGGTACTCGACATCATCGTGCTGGAGATGGAAGGCATGCTGGGAGTCGTGCCAAGAGGTCGCGGTGCAGCTTCTGAAGGGCTGTCAAGCTCCATGGCCGATGAGTTTGCTGTGCTTTCGCTCTTGCTGTGTCTGCGCTGTCTCTTTGAGGGCGCCGTGGCCGGCCGAGACATGGAGGAAGCACCGGGTCCGGGAGCCGTCTTCAGCGGCGCAGCAGCGATTGGCACGACGCCTTTGCCACCTACAATGGCTGCTCCTCCGTATTGGCTGCCAGGTGTGCTTCCCGCGGTGAAGTTTCCACTGCTAGTGGGACTGTCGGCATCTTTGTTGCTGCTGGGGCGGTTCATTGATGGTGGTGACACTGCGGCCTGGTTGTTCGTCATGGGCACGGCTACGGTGGCGGCGGCGGCGGCAGCAGCAGACATATTCAACGTCGAATTCTTCCTCGAGGCGGCATTTGAGCCAGTGCCGGCCTTCTTCCTCGTTCCTCCAACGGGGAGGTTGCTGCCAGATCCCCGGTTTCTCTTCTTGATGACATCCGTCTTCAAGCTGAGTGGTCGCACCACGCCGTGAAGTTTCAGGAAGAGGCCGCAAGCATTGCAAAGAGGCTGGCCTTCGGGGTTGCGTCTCCACAGCGGAGTCGTCTGAGTGAAGCAGTTGGTGCAGGTGGTGGGATTGCCGTTCTCGCCAGCGTTTCCACCCGTCGCCGGCAGATTGGTTGTAGAACCATGCTTGGAGCTTGGGGGCGGCGAAGGCGGCCTGCTTGGCGCAACCGACGAGAAGCCTGAAGCGTTGCCGGCGGCGTTGCCACCCGGAGAGCTTGGAAGAGACTGGGCGATTTGCTCGAATCCACTGTGCTTGTTTGTCATGTGCGAGGGTGTGGACGAGTTCCGAGGAAGTCTGTTTGATCGCTTGTCGGCCCCCATGCCAAGCGTCTGCGTCTGCGAGTGCGATCGGCTCATGCTCAGACCTTGGCCGTCCCAATCGCCGCTGTTGTCCACGTAGTCAGTCGTCGTGACGCCTCCAATCTGAACATGCTTGCGAGTCGGGCCGCCAGGAAAGCGGGCGGCTTGCGTGCTGAACTGCCCAGGAAGCGAGGCATCCCAGCCGAACGATCCCGCCTCGTCGACAGCAGATGTAAAGTCGCCGTGGAGCCCAACGCCGCCACGGTCCAGAAAAGCGTTGGCATCTTCATCGTCATCATCGCCCCCGAAGCCAAGCATGTTGCCTTGCTGCATTGGCAAGACTGGAGATGCGACCTGGGAATCGGTCTGAAAGACTTGGCTGGGATCAATGTGGCCAAATGAGTTCGGCGCGGTACTATAAGCCGACACTGCATCCACGCCCGCACTCGTAGAGGGGAAATTGGCGCCGTTGCTGTTGCTGCTCCCATGTGCGCCGCCGTTGGAATCGCCGTACATGAACTGCTGGTTCATGTGGTGGCTGATGCTGGAAGAGCTGTGTCGGAAGCCCTGCGCACGGTGGTGGTGATGGTGGTGGTGGTGCTGCTGCTGCTGCGACTGTTGATGATGATGGTGGTGGTGGTGCAGATCCTGAGAGGAGCCAAAGTAAACACCACCATCGTTGTCGTTGACCGGGTGAGGTGTAGATGTAGCAGACGGATAACCCGAACCAGTTGGGGAGTAAAAGTCGGGGTTGTTGAGAGAGGAATGCAAGGAGGCGTTGTTATACATGGAGGAAAACGGCCCGCTGTGCATCATGGGAGAGGTGGAGGGAGAGAAGGAGAAGTTGGATTGGAAGTGGGCAGTAGAGCCCATGACGCCGTCGTTGTCCATGAAGGTATCGAGGTTGAAGGCAGAGGTCTGGTTGTTGTTCATCTGCTGCTGCATGGACGACAAGGCGTTGGAGTTGTCGAGAGAGTATCCATTGAGCTCAGGGTCGGTTTCCAAGTCGAGGTTGAGGGCGGACGAGCTGGGGTTGATGGCGCTCACATGGGGAGAGAAGTTGGCAGGCCGTTTTCGAGTCTTGATATCAACCATTGTAAGTCAAACAATACAGAAGAAAAGGATTAAAACAAGTAAACACAAATTATGGCAACGTAGAAGATGAGAAGAAAAAAATGTCAAAGCAAAAAAGGGGGAAAAGCTAAACTTTAGACTTCCATTGACAAAAAGAAATAGACGACAATAAGCAACAAATAGAAGGGGAAAGAGAAAGAGGGCCACAGCCATAAAAGACAGAATATGAGCAGAGGGATAAAAAAAGAATGACAGAAATGCAAGCATGCAGGTCAGAGCAATAAGAGATGCAACCACAAGAGATAATTGGGCGGCTGTAGCGAAGGGGGAAAAAAAGAAAGGGGAACGGGATTGTGTTCTGCTGCTGCTGCTGATGGATGGAGTCGTACTCACCCGGCGGTCATCAATACTGGTCTTCCTGTCATGGCGCGGGACGTAATGGAACTCATCGTTCTGTCCCCGCTGGTGATGTGGCGGAACGGGGACCGACTGGGCGACGAACTGATTGGTAGAACCCTTGCGACCCTTGATGGGGATGGCGGCGGCCAGTGCCTTGGATGATCTGTTCTTCTTGACGGCAGCGGTCTGCGGCCCGGAGAGCGACGGCGCTGCAGGAGGCTGCGGTGAGCTGTCGGGGACGGAAACGGCGCCCTCGTCGGCAAAGATGAAGTCGTCGATGTTCATGGCATCCACGCTGGGGTCATGGATGTCGGAGGTGCTTCGAAGCTGCTGGGCAATGCCGCTGGGGGCGTTTTGTGGTTGCGCAGAGTGCAAGAGGGACCTGTGGCCGAGGAAAAGGGAAGAGGAAAATATGTCAGCCAGCGCCGGGATGATGTGATGGCCAGAACCCGCCTCCCCTCCACTCAGCCAAAGTAAAGCCACGCCATGTCCAGCCGTGTAGTAACAGAAATACAAGAACAGACCAATCACAGTGTATTGGCAAAGCATGAGATTATAACTACCTAGCCGGGGGGTAATGACGAGAGAGC